GCTGGCAGAGGGTAGATTCAGGCTAGATATCAGGAGGCGCTACTTCACTGTCAGGGCAGCTAGGATCTGGAACCAACTTCCAAGCAAAGTGGTGCTGGCTCCTACCCTGGGGGTCTTTAAGAGGAGGCTAGATGAGCACCTTGCTGGGGTTGTTTGACCCCAGTACTCTTTCGTGCCATGGCAGGGGGTCAGACTTGATGATTTGCTCAGGTCGCTTCCAACCCGACCAGCTATGAAACTATGAAGCTATGTACAACAATTTATCTGGTGTGTGATTCTTTTCTGCACCTCCTCTCACTTCTCAGCATCTGTTTAGGATGGATGTTGTGTACTATGATTAGTCTCCCCGGCACCATGTCTAGAGATGAGATTCCCACACTGATCAGCTCACCAACAGCCAAGGGTGCATTAACTTTTTTTTTACAGAATAGGGGGATCTTTAAAGAAGTGAAGGAGGCACACATAAAAAGAGAGGAAAGGTGTCCCCTTCCACAGTGTGGAAGTTGGTCCTTTCTTTTTAAAGCCCTCATGCTACCACTAGAAAGCAGCTGCTTCTGGGGTGGATTGTGGTTAGCAAGCAAACTTGTCCCATGATAGGAAAAGGAAGAGTTTTGAGCAGTGACTTCAGGGCAATGACTCAAGTGTCTGCTCATTGCTGTGGCCACTGGGAGCCCACCAAAATACACTAGCACCCACACGCGGCTTGTGGTTTGAAACCCAGCAAATGTTTCTCCTGTGGCTGCCCTGTACCAAGGAGCAGCAACTGTATTTCTGGCTGTTAACCTAGGCAGGGCTTTAGGCATCTGGAAAGTAATGGAGTGGGTGGAGAACTGCCTCCTGCTCTTCTCTCTGAGCTTTTCAGGTGTTTGAAGGTTGTTTTCTCACTGGGAAATCATATAATCCAGGGTCCCACACACAGCTCAGCCAAGGGGAGATGGAGGCAGATGAAGGGGGGAAGACTGCAAACACATGCAGTCCTATGGGAGATCCCTGGTAGGGCTCTGATTGCTGCAGTTTCCCCCTTTCCCTCCACCAAGAAGCCTCAGGAGCTGCGTAAGACTTGCCAGCAGTGCTGAGGGTTGTGGGGGCAGCAATGCTGGTGAGCCAGCAGGGAATGCTGAGAGTACAGGTGGGGCAGGTGGCTGTGCTGCAAGAGGGATGGCCTGTGCCGTCTTCATAGCCCTTGCCGGAAGAAGGGACAGAGTTTTCCTGAACTCAGTTGTGGGGGAAGGGTGCTAGGCACTTCTTCTGTGCCCCAGAGACCATGCAGGAGGGGCTCACTGCCCTGTGCACAAGGCAGGAGTGGGGAGCCCTGTTAAGGGTGAGTGACAGTACAGGCAAAAATACCCCAGAAACCCCTCTGCCCAGGGAACAGGAAGGGCAGTACAGCAGAGCGGAAGATCTGATTGCATCCCCAGCCAGGGCAATGGGGCAAGTGCTGCGTGCAATCTGGAGTGGAGAAACTCAGCAGCTGTGAGTTGGGAGGGGCACTGTGAGGCCATAGCTAGGTTCAGGCTCTAGGGCTGGATGGGGGCAAGAAAGAACAAGAGGGGGCTGAGAAATGCAGCCCATTCCATATTCTGCTATTAACACGTCACCCCCAGACCCACCCCCAGGTAGTTACAAGTGACCCCTCCCACCCCACATCACACTAGCTGCATGGACTCCCTCAAATGCTAGTATCATGCAATCTACATGGAGTAGCCCTGGCGGGAAAATCACAGAGTAAACAATTGCCTTCCGTAAAACTCTGCTGGTGCATAGGAGAATGATTCCTGTCACAGCCAGCCAGAAAGCTGCCCCCCACCCCTCACCAGGGCCAGGCCCCAGGAAGGTTTGTGTGGCACCAAAGCACAGGTGCCAAATTTCTGCAATCCCAGTGCAACCCTTAGTAAAGAGTTACAGGACAGCAAACCCAGCCCAGCCCATCCTACAGTTTCCTCCACTTCTGCTTTCTCACAGCCCTTGCAGTCTGTGCAGCATCAGCATGACTGGTGCTTCCAGTGTTTGGTGCTGGGGCAGGGGTTGAGTAGCTTTGAAAACAAAAAGTGTTTTCAGTTCAAGCTTGTTTTGAAGGAAACTGAGTACCTGCTCTCCAAGGCCAGGCCCACGTGAGCAGCCTTTAGAGCAGCACAAATAGTAGTGGCACAAATGTGTCTCTACTTTGTGCCCCAGTGCACACCCTGGCCCATGTGTCTTGTTGCTTCATGTGCTGCAGGAGGAGAGCCAGCCTGGGTGCACTCTACACCCCAGGCAACCAGGGAGTGGCTTGCTGGTGCCTCAGCACGGGGTCTCCACAGTGCACACAGCTGCCTTCAGTGGGCACCCTTGCAGCCTGCCGCCCCCCCTTCACCCCCAGTCTCCCCCTTCACCCCCAGTCCCCCTTGCCACTTTGGCATGGTTTGCACTGGGTTTTTTTTAGGGTGGGGGTTTGCTACTGGGAAATCCTGGGAACAAATTTTGCCCTGTGCTGCAAATTAGCAGCGCAGAGCACTGATTAATGTGCAAGTCATGTAATTTGTGGCACTGCAAAGTAGTTTGCAGCACCACAAACCACATGTGCCTGCACCTCTGGATCCAGCCCAAGAGCTCAACACCCAACATGTTCAACACTTTGGAAAATATGGGCCTTTAAAATGAGGCAGGGGAGGTACCAACTGTTAAGACAGGGCACTGCATAGGCCATTGGCAGGTAACTCTGCACCAGGTCATTTGGCTTGGCTCTATTAAGTAAGTCTCCTGGGCTCTGTCTCTGCAAGAGACTCTGAGTTCTTACCTTTAGCTGTAAAATGGGTGAATGATAGCAACCCCCCCAAGAAGGCAGGAGGAGACCATGTGAATACTAAAAGCTGGTTAGGACATAGGAATAGGAGCAGGGAAACATCTGGAGTAGGGCTTGTGACCTCTGGAGTCAAGGCTTAGTGTGGTGAGGCACAGACCAGGGGGAGTGAGGAAGACTCATTTTGTTACCCTTAGATCAGATGAAACTGGGAGCTTTTGGCTCCTGCCACAATGGGCCGAAAACATGTTACATGCAGTGAATTCACAAGAGCCAGCGACACTGGAGCCTAATGTCACCCATATGCTGCGTAGGTGTCTCTATGCAGTTGACAGCTCAGCCTGCAGATGCTGTAGTGTCCCTTCCATCCATCCATCCTACTCTGTTGGGAAACAGTGCGGGGCTAACGCAGTCAGCAAGAAAAGTAGGGCAGCCACAGAAGTGAGAATACACCCACTCCAAGCCGTTTGTGGTGCACGATGGCTATCATTTCTTAGTAGCTCCTTATTGATAAGCACATGAGCCATCCACCCTTAAGTAGGGCATCAACCCCCAAGGCACCCAGATGCCTCTTCATGCAGGGACTCGGGTGGGAACTCAGGGCCAATGTCACATATAACAGCTGAGCACAGGGGCGGGGGGCTTGGGGGACACTTGTCGTGGCTGCGGGCCCTGCCAGCCGGATCTCTGCTGGGGGATCGGCTAAGGATGACCCAGCCAGAGCAGGGGCTGGACTGGATCCCCTCGCGAGTCCCTCCCAGCCCGCCCCCCGAGGAAGGCCGCCTGCTCCGTCCCTGAGCACAGACAAACTCATCGCACGCGCTGCAAGCTCGCGGCGGGGGGGATGGGTGGGCACCGCGGGTCATGTGACTCCGTCATCACCTGACCGGGGATTCCCGGGAAGGGCAAGGCAGGTTGTCTCCGCCCCACTTTGGAGTAGCGGCCAATGGGGGCGAGGCAGGCCGGGTC